TTATATTATGGGGTTACTGTAAACATGTCCCCTGGTCATAAGCCAAATGTAACATCTGAGCGACAGCATTAAACGGACATAGTATGCTCCTTATGTACAGCTTTCATTGCATGCCATGTTGCATCTTTTGTTTATGTCAACACAGATGTTAATTCAAATTAAAGTTCTGTCAGTGATCACAGTTTTAACAAAAATATCTGTGAAGAATTGTACAATAAAGTTTGTACATTAATGCTGTTTATTAATTTCTCTTTGGTCCCATGTTGGCCATTTGTTCAATTTACTACCTGCATGAGCTACTGTTTGTTTTTGACCTGTTTACTGTTAAATATGCTGTATACAATGTTATTTTAAGATGTCCACAAGTTGTGGGTGCAGAATTAAATGCTGATTGAGTGTTGAAAGTAGTAAATCTCAGCAGTTACTGAGGTATTTTTATTTGTTAGTTAATCAAAAACTTTATAAACTCAAACACAGTACAAATTATTGAACCCTGGGACATATGATCATAGAGTGCTTAATATAAAACATCAAAATACACTAAAGCTGTGGTTTTGTTTGTCTATTGGAGATTGTGTCAGTCCTCTGGGGACAATAGTTTGCACAACAGTTAGCATCCAGTCGGCCATATTCAAAATATACTGTTTCATCTAAACAAGTAGGTTGTTTACATAGGATTTACTCTGCAGCCTTCAAATGAGTGACTATGAACAAAGTATAGCCTAGAAACATATATAAACCCTTTTACAGCCTACATAATGATTAGGTCACGGTCTTAGCTGGTGGCAAAACAAACATAAGGCTGTCCATCACCAAGTTGGTTGGTTAACTACATTGATCGACGTGCCCGGCGACCAATATGAGAGCCTTCACATGTAAGTAGGTGTTCTGTTTACATGTGAAGGCTCTCAAACATGACAATGTGGAGTCTGGTCAGTTAGCAATGGCAGTGGACCAGAAATCTATGTTTGTTCGTCTAATTCTTATGTGAATTTTGTTAATTGAGCTATAGCCACTGGGCTAAACATCTGAGCTACAAACAAAAGAGAAAGGTAGGGAGCGACTGTTGTGTTGTATGTGCCATAAGCCACTGCTGCCCATGAAAAACAGCCAGTGGATTGATATGGGGCCCCCAGATCACTTAATGTAGCTGAAATCATGAGACTTGAAGCTTTCTAACAGTGTATAGCATGTTGCAGTTGTGTTAAGAACAAATGTTGTGTAACAAGGATAGCTGTGATTGTTCCACAGGTGGGACAGTGCTGGGTAACGGTGCTTTTATACAAGACAAACATAGGCAGAGCCAGTGGTGGTTTGGTACCAGCCAACACCAGAATCTAACTGGCCACCTCTAGTGCAGCAGTGCCAAAGTCAAAATGTGATGCTTGTCAGTATTAATGAATAAAAAATGAAGAACAATGACAAACATTTGCCTTAAATATAACTAACTTTTTTCTGATGCTTTATGTGTTGGAAGTTGTTTGTAATGGAGCCATAAGTCACCCACAGAACTGTAATCATCACTTAAATATCCATTTATATAATATTAAAGTTTATGAAAACACTCCTAAAGCTTAAAAAGTTTCATGTAGTGCTTGGACTGCTTACAATTATTTAACTTAATTACTTAATTACTTAATTAAATTAATTACTTTAACTTCCATTTTGAACGTAGCTGTTGCCTGTAGCCTATAAACTGAGGGAGCATGTGGGAGCAGCAGGTGAGTGGGTGAACAGTGTCCTTGCTGCTAAGACACACCACTGCTCTGCAGGGCCCACGGTGCATTAGGCAGCTGCTTAGGTTTCATTTACGGGCTGTTCCGTATGGAAAATAACAAAGTTTACGACCGTCGACGACGTATGAAGCGAACACTGTGTCCTTAAAACAGGAGACTTATAAATGACTTGATAGAAGGGCAGCTGAGCTGGACGGGAGCAAAGTTGAGGACTATTCAATGTCTGGGTAAGTTGTGAAATATAGACTAAACTATATCCAAACTGATAATTTAATTGTCTGAAGCTTTAACTAAACATTTTCTAGTTATATTTGTGCCTTTAGAGAAGAAATGACTTGAAATTTGTTTGTGCTCAGATCTCATACTGGACAGAAGTGAAACATTTAGGCTGAAGTGTAATTTCATCTCAGTTTGTTTCCATGTATAACAGGATAATATGAATTTGTCCACTTCAGATATTGAAGTAAAAATAAACAGCAGAGAGAGGGAAGTAAAATAAAAACAATACTTTGATTGCCATTATTTGAAAAGTGAAATAAATAATACACTTGATCAAAAACCCAAACAGCTCTGCCATGCACGCCTGACTGGGCTTGTCTTGTAGCTTCCCCTCTACCTCTCAGTGGGCTGACGCTCAGCAGGTGCACAGAGGTAGCATACTGTCGATGCAGCACAAGGAAGGAACAAGTCTGTGGTTCTCCTCTGCAGTAAACACCACGCGTGGCTACCCTGCTCGCTTCTTATCTGCTGTCTGTCTGAATTATTGAAGCCTGCTGGGTTGAGTTCTTCTGGAGTGATGAACTCTGGGTCAGCGATACTAGAGAGAGGGTTCAGGGATAAGCTGAGGTGAAAGCAGACCAGAGAAGTGTGTGCTGTGCAGGGATGAATGATTAAAACTCAAATCAAATTACAAAAGTGCTTAAAGGACTAAGGTACTGGTGTTTGAAGTTAACTCGTTTTAAATTCTGTATTTTTCCCATTTAAGTACGTTAATTTACTCTTCAAGGCATCGTTCCAGTGGTCTGAGACAAAACAAGGTCAGAAATTAATGTGCCACCTTCAAAAGCTGCTGTTAAATGCAGGTGTAAAGTGGTATGGTGTAACATTGCTTTTGCCTTTAATTAATTTCACCTTTTTTCTACTCTCCTCCAGGTGAAATTGCTGTAATACCCATTATGTATGAGCCTCGATACTACGATAGCCCCCCTGTGTACAGCCCACCTTACAGCACCACCTCGCACAGCTTCTATCCCCCAAGGAGCGTTCACTCCCCTCAGAGCCAGTATGTCCCCCAAACCCACAGCCTTCATCCAGACCCCTGCTACATAGAGGAGAAGCCTCAACACTTCTATCGCTGGTTTTCTCCTCCTGGTTTCGTCAAAACATTTCAGGGAGCCACGGCACTCATGTGTTTCATCATATTTGCCTGTGTGACTTCAACTTTGGTGTGGGACATGAATGGTTTTGGGTATGGGGGCTACAGTATGGGGGCTACAGGGGGTGTTGCTTTGACAGGGTCAGGCTATTATGGAGGCAGCTACGGTTACAGCAGTTCCTACATGACGCCACTGTCTGCCAAAGCAGCTCTGATCTCCATGGCAGCCATCAACTTCTTGGTTTCAATGGGGTTCTTGGTGGGGGGTTTCTCACGGTCACGGTTCACGAGGAGATGCAGTTTTTACCTCACTGTCCTCGTCTGTGATATCATCTTAGCTGTCCTTCAGGTGAGTCTGCCTCACCAAACATAAAACATGGAATCATTAAGTCAGATTATAATTGTTTTTTAAAAAGCCTGATGAGTCTACTGTATTTTGTTTAATCAGTCTCATTCAGATGGTGATATAGATGGTGGTATCATCAGTCAACTAACGGGAGCCTTACTCCAGTCAGAACACCTTGTTGGTGCAATGCATTTGGTCTGCTGAGTCTAATCTCTGCTCCCTCTATGGCAGACTTTACTTTGCATGATTTGTATGATCAGAGGTGGAAAGTATCTACAGTGGGTACGGAAAGTATTCAGACCCCCTTAAATTTTTCACTCTGTTATATTGTAGCCATATGCTAAAATCATTTAAGTCAATTTTTTCCTCATTAATGTACACACAGCACCCCATATTGACAGAAAAACACAGAATTTTTGACATTATTGCAGATTTATTAAAAAAGAAAAAAAAGCCACACACCTGTCTATATAAGACCCTACAGCTCACAGTGCATGTCAGAGCAAATGAGAATCATGAGGTCAAAGGAACTGCCTGAAGAGCTCAGAGACAGAATTGTGGCAAGGCACAGATCTGGCCAAGGTTACAAAAAAAATTTCTGCTGCACTTAAGGTTCCTAAGAGCACAGTGGCCTCCATAATCCTTAAATGGAAGACGTTTGGGACGACCAGAACCCTTCCTAGAGCTGGCCGTCCGGCCAAACTGAGCTATCGGGGGAGAAGAGCCTTGGTGAGAGAGGTACAGAAGAACCCAAAGATGACTGTGGCTGAGCTCCAGAGATGCAGTCGGGAGATGGGAGAAAGTTGTAGAAAGTCAACCATCACTGCAGCCCTCCACCAGTTGGGGCTTTATGGCAGAGTGGCCCGACGGAAGCCTCTCCTCAGTGCAAGACACATGAAAGCCCGCATGGAGTTTGCTAAAAAACACCTGAAGGACTCCAAGATGGTGAGAAATAAGATTCTCTGGTCTGATGAGACCAAGATAGAACTTTTTGGCCTTAATTCTAAGCGGTATGTGTGGAGAAAACCAGGCACTGCTCATCACCTGTCCAATACAGTCCCAACAGTGAAGCATGGTGGTGGCAGCATCATGCTATGGGGGTGTTTTTCAGCTGCAGGGACAGGACGACTGGTTGCAATCGAGGGAAGGATGAATGCGGCCAAGTACAGGGATATCCTGGACGAAAACCTTCTCCAGAGTGCTCAGGACCTCAGACTGGGCCGAAGGTTCACCTTCCAACAAGACAATGACCCTAAGCACACAGCTAAAATAACGAAGGAGTGGCTTCACAACAACTCCGTGACTGTTCTTGAATGGCCCAGCCAGAGCCCTGACTTAAACCCCATTGAGCATCTCTGGAGAGACCTGAAAATGGCTGTCCACCAACGTTTACCATCCAACCTGACAGCACTGGAGAGGATCTGCAAGGAGGAATGGCAGAGGATCCCCAAATGCAGGTGTGAAAAACTTGTTGCATCATTCCCAAAAAGACTCATGGCTGTATTAGCTCAAAAGGCTGCTTCTACTAAATACTGAGCAAAGGGTCTGAATACTTATGACCATGTGATATTTCAGTTTTTCTTTTTTAATAAATCTGCAAAAATGTCAAAAATTCTGTGTTTTTCTGTCAATATGGGGTGCTGTGTGTACATTAATGAGGAAAAAAATGAACTTAAATGATTTTAGCATATGGCCGCAATATAACAAAGAGTGAAAAATTTAAGGGGGTCTGAATACTTTCCGTACCCACTGTATGTAGATTTACTCAAGTACTGTACTTAAGTGAAGTTTTGAGGTAAGTATTTGAGTATTTTCATTTTCCACTACTTCATATTTCAACTTCACTACATTGTACAGAAAAATATTGCACTTTTTACTCACTACTGTACATTTTTAATCAATTTAGTTACTTTTCAGACAGAGATTGATTAAACAAAATACAGTAGACTCATCAGACATCATTGATCCCTGGTGGGAAATTCAAGAGCTACCCAGCAGAATGTAAAGTACTTCAGTGTCTAAGCATATAAGGTAGTTTGCATTAGCTCCAGCTTTGCCAGCTTCAACATTAGATGTGACGTATGCAATAATGCATCAATAATTATACTTTAATAATATGATATATATTTATGTCAATTGTGCCATTCTGCATAAAGAGTACTTTTACTTTTTTTTTTTACTTTAAGTTTATTTAATGTTAATACGCTTGTACTTTTAACAATTTGAATGCAGGACTTTTACTTGTAACAGAATATGCTTTACAATTTAGTATTGCTACTTTGATTACAGTAAACAATCTGAGTACTTCTTCCACCACTGTTTATGATTATATAAAATGGTCAGTTTAAAACAAATACCTTGACTCTGATAGATACCAGTCCACAAGCTGTTAGGAGTCAGTAAGAGAGACCAGCAACCCCAAACCAAGAGCTGACAGGGACAAAAGGTTGCACAGAGTTTGGAGTTGATTGTCAATAAGACCAGCGATTCTAGCGAGGAAGATATTTCATTAAATGTTTATCACAAAATATTATTTTTTGGAACTGTAAATATGCACTAACTGCAGAAACAGGCTATGAACACAGAACTGATATATTTTAAATCTATATGGCAAAGTTGTTAGCAAACAGTATTGTTTACACATCTAGTAAACACAGAGCAACAATACTCTTCATTTTTGTTTTCAGTTCAGTATTCAAACTTCATTTCACTTTTGGTCCCCACTAGCTGTTCAAGGAACTCTTCAGCTTACATACAAAAGGATTGAACTGGAACTGAAACTGTAAAGCTGAGGGCTGTAAAACCAAAACAAAGAGCTGAAAGATGCTAAAATGCTCTGTAGAGCTGAGGAAAACTGCAAAGTGATGTTTCTGTGACTCTTTCACATTAAACTTGACTGTAAGTTGTAATCCACTGTTAACTTAACAATGTTGATTGTTTTAAAGTACATCCCAGAATGCTGCTACACTGTAGAAAACAGTGCATCTTCAGTGTAGGACTAACCAAAAAATCGTCTTGATTTGTCATCGTCTAATATCAACCCCAATATTCTGTGTTCAAAGAAGATCATGTACACCACAGAGATGCAGTACTTCTTTCATGTGACCTTTAAGTTCAGATATTATACTTACCTTGGTAAGAAAGGCAGAGTACTGTGTGTATTGCAGTAATATTATAGTATGTGAAATACTCACATCAAAGATGTGATTGAACCTCTCTCTCTTTTGACTGTTAGGGCATCATCGACATTATCTTTGTGATCGGGGTGAACCCGATGGCTCAGAGCTCACAGAGCATGCTGTACAACCCCATGCTGATGATGTGCCAGAACATCCAGGGCAGCCCCAGCCTCAGCGGTAGCGTGGGGGCTGGTTTTCCAGGGGGGTTCCCCATGTATAATCAATACCTGCACCATTACTGCTACATGGACCCAGAAGAGGTTTGTTGGATTATTCTATTTTATTTGATTCTCTTGTATACTTTTCCATTCTGATCTTCAAGTTACTCTCTTTACTCAGGCATTAGCATTAGTGTTGGGTTTGATGGTGGTGTTGGCCCTCTCCCTTTCGGCTTACTACGCCTACAAGACCCGGAGCAAGATTTGGCACCATGGTAAAGTGAACATCTACTGGGATGAGCCGCAGGTCAGGCCGTCAGAGCAGCAAGACCTGCAGAACTGGGTTAGTCAAGTCTTTGTCTCTGTTTTAACAGAAGATGAATGGAAGTGACTGTATGTCAGCAGTTGTCAAGTGTATGTAAAAGGACAGTCATTTAGGGTATGTTAAGTGACTTTAGGTTTGTGTGATTTTAGGTTAGCTTTTCTTTTTTTTTTTAAACTGTAGTTTCCCAAAAAACCTATTCAGGATAAGGGGTATAGATAACAGATGGATGGATAGTTCCAGCTCGTGTCTTACTAGTGACCATTGGGTTTTACAAACTCATGTTAGGTGCTGGTGTTGACACAAAGATAAGATTAGTGTCCACAGCACACCCAGGTTTCACTCTGACTGATCATTAACCAGACTACTGATAAGCAGCTGCACAGAAACCATAAAAATGACTAACAACCAATATTACCAGCTCTCCTGAGAAGGAAAACAGGCCAGGAGACACTTAAAGCAATTTACCTCATGGTCAATAGTCAAGTATAAAGTTTCAGACTGGTATCACACATGTTTCCATTTCCTGTGTACAGTCATAATCCCACATATGAAAGGTTGGGCTGGTTCATTTGAAACCAAAGTGCATTGTGAATAACTCCATGTGGGCTCTTAACCAAAGAAGGAACAGCTGGTCTTCAATGAAATGAACACTATTTGAAAAATATTGTAGGAGACTGAAATAAACAAAGCAACAAAAAATGATTTTAATTGTCAGAGTTTTAGAGTCTGACATAAAAACTTGTTGGATTCAACTGCACTGTTTACTAGTAACTAGCCCACGTTAGCATGCTAGCATACTAAACTAAGGTTGTGGACATGGTACACATTATGTATAGTATAGCACACTGATGTTAGCATTTAGTTCAAAGCACCACTGTGTCTAAGTACAACATGGCTGTATAATTTTTGACACTCTTGTCTCTATAATTACCCAGAGACATCAGCAGTAGCACAGTATTCACTTAAAAGCTTCACTTTGAAATCTCATCCTGATGGACTACAGCACTCTATATATAACATTTTCAGGTAGTTTGGAATTTCATCCCCATAAGCAGCAGGGCGGTGTAGCGGTTAAACCACAATGCAGCCAGATGGTCCACGCATGGCAATAGCTTGGTTCACTTTTTTCCGTGTTCATGTTGTAATACAGTATGTGGTCAGGATGTGGTTTAGCTTATGTGGCTTGTTGTTCTTGTTGTTATGTCGCTGATTGTTCTTGAAAAGCTTTAAATTAACCATGTTCATGATTTTCTGATGAGCAGCCTCTTGTGGCCATGTGAATAATGACTTTTTGCTTTTCACACTACATACAGTATCTGTATATTAATGTACAGAAGCACAAGAGGGAGTGGCTGTTATTCTGTTGATGGATATGAGTGTGCAAAGTGTCCAACTTTGACTGTGTAGACATATGGCCTTAGGTTAAGACACTGATGTGAGTAGTTCAACCAAAAATGATTGTTTCTCCAGCTGTTTTATGTGAAGGATTGGTGGAGACCTGGAGAAGCAAAAGTAAATGTTAGAGAAAACTCAGAAAATGTATCCTTGATCTTGTCACATCCAATTGGATGCCCAGGTTTGGAACCATCAGTGCTCCAGCATTTAGCAGGTCATCGTGCTGCTGTAGAGCCCTGTGAAATCTGTGCTGGTAGCCTCATGTGGTATTTAGCAGTGATTAATCTAGTACAGTAGCACTGTACTATGATTGTATCACGTCCACTATGACTCATTATAGAAAGGAAAGAAAGGTCCAGTAAGGCCTTGGCCTACAAACTGCCTGTCACTGCATGCCACATACTGAATCCCTTTATTGAGATGCAGTCCCTATTCTGGGGCACTCTTGTATCGCAGGGAAGATGCTCGCCTTGCAGCGAGACATATATAATGTATGTGGCATGTATAATGTATAACAAGGGTTGAGTTGCCTGTGTGTTGCTGGGTGAATCCCTACAGTGTGTGCTGGAGATAAATGATTCAGTTTGCGAAGGGGCTGCTACACGCTGCTGCAGATTAGACTCCTGGCAAAGACATAATTTCCTTGTATTTTGTGCTACATTTTCATTTAACAAAGCTGGAAAATTGTGGTTACTGGGAGAATTCTAATCTACGGCACCTAGATTCAAAGCAAATGCTACATACGACATCATAATTAATATTTATCCACATGAGCAACTCTGCAAAAGTCAAATATGAGATTAGAACTAAGATTATAAACATGATAAAGTGTCAAGTGTGTAACTCTTTTATAGAGAATAAATATGCAAGATGTTGTGTGCAAAAACACAAAAATTTATTTTGCAGATCTAAAACGTTTTGTTTTAAGTGTGCTGGCTACAGCTTCTTTGAAGTGAATATGTTTCCTTCGTTAATCAATACATTTTTCTGATTCAGTCATATACAAGTATATGCTTAATACAAACGTATATTAGTCAATAATGATAACACTCAGTAGCTGTAGCTCTAAAACTAATTGTTAACAATAAATTTAACCATAAAATCAGTGTCTGTTTTACCATATTCACAGCCTTGTTCTTGTCACAGTTCAAATTCACAGGCAAGTTTTATCTTAGACAGAAATGAACAGCACTTGAATGTCACAAAGCTGCAGCCGTCACGACACCTTGGTGCTGCTGTGTGTCAGATTTCCAGCAGTTTCTGGGAGGTTTTCCAGACAGAGGGTCTCCTTTAGATTCCACATTCCAAGATCTAATTCACAGACACTTGCATCAGATCTAAATAGGTAAAAGATTAGAAGTCACTGATGATGTTTCAAATAGTATAGCAGTAGGTGACAGTTGGAGGTTTAATGTTTGAAACTGTAGCATCTGGGGATGTTTCTGTTGACCATGGGTTTTTGTAATGCTTAATATTGTACTTGTATTTTGTATTTCTCCTCTTATAAGCTGTAACATTACAGTGATATACTGTAAGTGTCCAAAAAAGAGAAGCAACCCCTGACACTGTGCTGAATGTCTCACCCTTTCTCAGTATGCTCCTAATGATACAGACACACACTGTCACTGGTAACATGCACATCATGATATTTACAATTCAACACCAGGAAACAGAGTCATTATCATCCAGAAACCACAATCCCTGTCATTAAACAAAGGGACTCCACTCTCCTAATATTGTCTTAGGTGAACCATGTTGGAGAGGTGCGCAGCACCCAGCAGACTGTCGTATCAGAAAGAGCAGCACCGGACCTCAGGGTGGAGAACAACGTCGTCTCCCATGGCAACAGGACAGTCAGCATCCACAGTGAGGGAAATTATAAAAGCAACAGGTAACAGCAACAGTACAGTCAGCATACATTAGAAAAATGCATGAGTAGTGACCCCGATAGTGCAAATTATACCAATTAACGTGATCTATTTTGATTTTGGTCTACACTGACACTAAAAGTGAAACACGTCTGATTTTCATACAGAAGTCAAAGAAAAGGCAGAGTTTTCACCACCACAGTGAGGTTACATTTGTGGTTTTATGTAAAATATCTTTACATAAAAGTTTGCCATATAAGTTGGTCCTGACATTCACATCCCCTTCAGGATTATTTGAAATCAACCTGAGGTAATCAACCACCAGCAGGTCAAAATTTTTGTTTGTCCAATACTCTGCTTTTCAAATATCTGCAAAGTAAAGCACATTCCCATTAGCCTCAATAGTTCTTGGTGTTTAGTGCTAATCGGCTTAATTCAAAGCACCGCCATGAACTGCTAGCATGGTGTAGACGTCTTTAATTCTTTTGAGGTAACACTGGAAATTAATTTAGCTATAGACATCAAGCATATACGCACATATACACAACCAAACATCTTTTATCTTTCAGTTTTTCTGCTGATGGCATTAATTGTCACAGTGCTGAGCCACTGCAGAGGAACAGTAGGGCTGCAGGTTGCTCCAGCAGCTCCTCAGATGATGCAGACACCATCCAGAAACCTCCTTCTTATTATGTGGAGAGGGAACAGAGGCAGGATAGAGATCCCCAGGCTATGGTTCAGGAGAGGATGGAGTCCCAGTATGAAACTGGCTACACCACTGAAGACACTGGCAACGAGCTGGACAGGGATCATACAGACTATCTTTACAGGTGGGACACTACTCTGCTACCAGTTAATACTGTGATCTGAGAAAATATTTAGACCAGGCATTTGTGTAGCACATTTCATACACAGGGGCACCTCAAAGTGTCTGACATGAATCCTTAAAACAAAAATACAACTTAAAGTGTTAAGCTGCAAATTAAAATGGTTGAAGCTATTTAAATGTTTTTAAATATATAAATGTAGGAAAAGATAAAGAATGATGTGTGAGCATAAAATGTGAGTAAGAGTACTATGATACCTTAGTTTAGCTGCTAATCCAACTGAAAGAATTTAAAGGCGTGAGTGTCACTAAAGAGCAGTATTGTCTACATGCTCGTTCAGAAATGTTTCCTGTTTTAAATAGCTCAGTATCAGAAAATGCCAGCATGGCATAAATGTTGACATTCAGCATCTTAAAGCAAGAAATCAACAAAAATCAGCATCAGCTTCAATATTTAAAAATCCCCACTGGTTGAACCTAAGTTAAAGTATTTAACACCAGCCTTCCTTATGGCATCATTGTTCTAATGAATCATAGCTTTTTTTAAAAGAATCTGCTCTGTCTTCAAACAGTGTTCATAGTATTTATGAAGAAAATGCTGTAATGCCAGAAATACTAGTAACCACCGGTGGCCAACAGAATTATCTAAATTTAATACTGGTAAGATGACTGATAGAAAGTTTATTCCCCTCTGTGCTTGTCACCGCCTGAATAATAGTTGTAATTTAATAATCATGCCATGTCCTCATATTAATATCCCACTCCAGGCTGTACCCAGTGATAAGTTCAGACAAGCAGCGGCAGCAGTACAAGAAGGAGTTTGACTCTGATCTGGCTTGTTATAAGAATCTCTGTGCCGAAATGGATGACATCAGCGACCAGCTGCACAAGCTGAGCCGAGAACTGGACATGTTGGACGAGGGCTCTAAGAAGTACCAGGTTGGGAAAAATAGGAGGAGGCAGCATAGAATGGAAAACTAGAGGGCAGACTGCCAGGAGAAAGGAGAGTCATAGCTGTGCCTGTTCATTAGTCTAAACCCAGAAGCTTAGCTCACTGTCACTATACTGTAAGTCTACTGAACTGCCACTGAAACACTGAGAGTTGAAAATCTGTTGTAGTGATTACCTACTGTACAGTATTTTGTCACCAGGATTAAAATGCCCATGTATTTTTTGCTGCAGTTTCAGGATTTACTTATATGGTTTATGACATAAAGTGACAGAATTTGTATTTCCATTCTAAGGGTGTGGCAGAGGAATACAACCGACTGAAAGACCTCAAAAGGGTGAGTCAGTTAGATCTATGGTGTCGTAATGTGACATTAAACAAATCTAACATGTGGAACACACACTTTGGCATCAAACGTTAGCTTAGCATAAAGACTGGAAATGAGGTCACCTGTCAACCTTACCAAATTTGAAAGTAAAATCTTAATGGCCCTAAATTAAATCACTTTTACATTTGTTTTTGTATGGTTTAAACAAACAAGATATTACATGTTAACTAAGCTGTTTTCACACATGAACTCCGGACAATGTCCCCAAAATCAAGTCCGGATAATTCCAGAATAATTTCCTTTCTTGAGAACGCTCCATTTAAATTTCAACTCAAATGTGTTATGTCTTAAATGTATGTCAGAATTTTATGGGCTTGTGTTGCAAAGGATTAGAATGACTGGGTCTTGTCACCCAGAGGGTGGGTTGGGGAGTGCCGTAGGCTGACCAGTCATTTTAGGATGGCCCTCCTGAACACCTCATCGGCATCTTCGTTGTAAATGACCCTTCTTCTTCACCATCGGAATTTTTGTATTCTTCCGGTTCCATGTCACTCACATGATAGGTCATCAACACATCCACTAGCTGTCTGTGAATAATCCGGACCATACGCTGCTGTTTTCCCACATGGACTTACTCAGACATTGTACTAGGGAGCTGGCAGCGTAAAGTCCACTTAAGGTCCAAATCTACTGACTGACATTTGTGTTCCACATACAACCTCAAGTAATGTCTGGATATTTTCTTGGTTCCAGTGCAAGTCTTAAAAGGGCTTTAGTGAACTTTAGAGAAGGTAATGGGCATATTTTATTAGCTTTGAATAGAGACAGGAGAGTTCCCTCCCTCTGTTCCCACTGCCTATAGCTCCATTGTACAAACATGTGAATGATATCAATCTCCTCAGATGGTTTTGTTTGTTTAACATCTGCTGGCTTAAATTTCTTTTTCTTTTAGAAGTCAGACTATCAAGCAAAGAAGCAGCAGAGCAAAGAACTTCGGCAAAAGCTTTTCCACATCAAACGGTTGGTGAGAATCTATGACCAAGGTCTTTGTTAGTGTGACTTCATAATCTGTCTAAACACTGGCTGGGTGTGACCTGGCTAAAGAAACAAAGATTTACCCTCCATGTTCTTTCAGGTTTACTGCTTTGCTGTTAGAATTGTAACTGTTCAGCCCATACTAACACAACCTTTATACTGACCTTGGTCACTGAACCTGTTTTTTTTTACCTTTGTCTAGTTTTTGAATTACTCTTGCAGCTGTCAGAATAAACTATCTAGTGATTGACTTTGCTCTGTGTGGGTGTAGTCCACTTTTAACTGGTTGACACCAGGCAGTGTTGTACCTTGATAATATCTCAGTTTTTGACATATGAATACCTTTACATTAATACACTTATACATGTATGGTACATGTTGTGTTTATTTGGCATTCTTGATACAGATGGAATTACAACACTTTTTCAATGAGTTTGAGAAAACAAACAACAAAAGTCGTCATCTTTTGATTCTTTTAATAAAGTTGCCATACACATAACATTTTAAAAACATAAGAACTCGGTAACGCAAAGATAAGAAAACATTAATAGCATTTGTTTTTGTTTTTTATCTATAACAGTTGCATGAGTCGGTGCCTAAAAGAAGAATATCCAAATATCTTTCAAAAGGCTCGTTGGTAGATCAAGAATCAATATCTTTCAACTTTTGTGTTTTACGTTGGTCAAAGCAGAAATATTTTGTTTTTGGGGTGGATTTTGTTCTTTCCTTTAAAATACCTAAATATTTAACTCACCTCTTAAAATACCCATGTGAGGTAAATCCCAGTGAACCAGCAAACCAGGGGCCAATCTTCTATTAACACATCTGTGTGATGTTTTTGGCATTGACTGTCCTCTAAGTGCATTTTCCCCCCCACCAGATTCTCATCCATGACAACACTGTCTCACATGACTCCAACAGCAGAGACACACTCAATGAGAGCATGAACATCTGTGTCATATGAGCTTAGATGGCATGAAGACAAGCTTCTTCTTTTACATCCAAACAGATGACAGAGGTATTTTTTTATGTAAATACATATAGAAAAAACATTTAGGAGCTAACAGTGAAAGCAATAGTTTTAATGTTTAAATGAACCTTGAAATACATAATGCAAAAGCAGAAAACAACTTGGCAGAGATCCAAAAGATCTGAACATGCAAAAAAGACAAAGTTGGCCTCCATATATGTACATTACAATACATTTTTCAACATAAACTGTTAGTGTTGGTTATACTCTCTGGTCACCAACTATACTGGCTAAACTAATTCTTACTATCTTGAATTGTCCGTCATACTGAAACCCAAGTTAATTCACACAAATGCCAGCCTTCCATTCCTTAATGGAAAAAACCTTAATCCAAATCATGTTTAATAACTGAATTCATCATATTCAGTCAGTCAGAACTCGTATTCAGGACACTAGTTTAAAAAAAAAAAATCACTTTGGGGATCTTTTACAGAGATCAAATGTTTGTGATGCTCGTAAGACTCATTTCATATTTCACGGGTGTCCCAAATTCATACCGAATAACAAGGCAGTTGTCAAAAAGAAGGCGGTTTGTGGTGAACGACATTTACAGAGGCTTGTGTTGAGGAAATATCAGACTAAAGCATTCTGACGTCTCATGAGGTATTAGTCCCTTCTCCTGTCACGGTGGCTTCATTTTGTAAAGTGTCACTTACAGTAACAGCGAGCCCTGTGAGAGAGTTTCAAATCATGATGGTCAGACCTGCTGTCTTCTCATCTCTGCTTTTTTAAAAACCCATCTCCGAGGACGATGTGATAGACTTTGGTGAGTTTTCCTTGGTTTTATTTCTGCTCCTTTTGCTTCTTCCTCAAGTGTAGAAAAAAGAAAGCGGTGAATTACAACTTTTCTCTTCAGCAGTTACTGTCTCATAGTTAACAACGCAACCAGAGTTTTCTGATGCTTTAGACTGTTCCGTTAAAGCCACTTAAGTCATGGATGTAACGTTATCAGTAGTGTGGATAAAAAAGGTCACTGTATAACAAATGGCGAGCCGTGGAAAATAAGCCCAATGTGGTGAAAAGTTCAGCCGACTATCAGTGGTGGGACAGTTTAGTCCTGTAGCAGGGTGCTGCTGCCCTCTACATGAAACCGTGCCATCTTTAGATACTGTGACATGTGGGTCATGACTTGACTGGCTGTGGTGGCCATAATGGAGCGCAGCGTGAAGAGGTGGCCTCTGGCCTGAGACCTGGCACCAGAACAAGAGTAACAAAAAGAAATCCTGGCACTGGCATCTCTCTCTTCCCTGGAAGCCCATGTGGAGACAGAGTGCTCGTGTCATGAGGGGGAATAGAGCGGTTAGAGTAAAGTACGTATGATGACCAGCTCGCTTGAACCACATAGATGGGATAGTGATGAGTCAGGAGGTTTCCTGTGGGTCTTTGTCGTCACTAATTCCAGACGGAAACCTCGCCTAAAGGGGTGGGCGGAGGGGGCTATTGTCCTGGAACATACGGCCAGCTGATTGAGCTTCCAGAGAGCTGCATGTCCCGGATCAGCGTCTCAATGGGCGTCTTTCCTACCAGGCGCATGAAAAAGAGCTGGGAGATGAGATTGGCAGGAACGGCACGCAGGGCGGGGAGACGCAGGAGCAGGCGGCCAAAGCGCTGAGGCTGACTCGGGTACTGCATCCTCTCATACTCTGTCAGAGCCACCTGAGCCTTCTCCTGCAGAGACTCCACGTGGACTGGGTCTGTTAGACCACAGGCGTCTGAGAGGGAGGAGGAGGCAGTTACTTAATAGTGTGGGCAGGTTACATAAAGAGTCGTGATGAGCCAAAAGGACAGTTCAAATCTGGGCTAATTAAAAAAAAAATACAGTGCTTCATCATATGCATGCACTTGGAAAAACTAACAAATCAAACACTACAAGCCCTGAACATAAATTAAAACTATGACCAGGCTATGTAGCTTAAAAAAAGATTGAAATGGCTATAGAGATGCTCACAATAAGCAGTTTAGCCACTTACACAAGACTTATCATAAAATGCACAGTGCAGCCTCATGACCGATGACAGCACTAATTAACAGAACAGAACATTACTGCATTTTCATGAATAAACCAGGAGATGGTGCCACAGGAGGCGAATTCACAGATTAATGGAGCAAATTTCACTGCAGTTCTCCAGTCACTCTAGGATAAAGCACCTGGAGTTTTTCTGTATGTGTAACTTAAATGTGCTTTTAGACTCTTTTTGTGTATTCAATTCCTATTTATGGTTGTGAACAAGTTGTGCTTGGAGAACATGTGCTGTATAGCGTCTGCTGTAGCTCTGGAAAATTGGGAGTGTGGCGTTTGAAAGATGAGTATTTACCACACAGGGAAGGCTAACGGAAGATATCATCCAGTTACACTACAGGAAATGATCCAGTGCATGGAGATTGATGCAGACTAGAGGCTAACAGTCAGGATATCCAGGCATCTGCTTCTTTGATTTTCATTTTCTGTTTTAAATCTGTCTCAACAAGTGCAACATTTCATAGAAGTTCAACACTAAAACGCTGAAGTCACCCTTTCAAAGTGGCTGCCTTGTGTGGTTCACTGTGGTATAATAACAGCAGATAAGACAGAAGAGCAAAGACAATCACCTGGTGAGAAGAGTGCGATAGCCTTGAGACAGCTATATTCAGCAGAGTCCACCTGCAGCCTGGTCAGCTTGTCTACCTGGTCCTGGAACATCCTGACCTGGTCCATGAAGGACACCACACGCTCGGCAGACATGGGGGAGGAGTGGAAGCCAGCCGCAGCCAGCAAGGGAGCCATGTGGAGCGGCAGGGCTGACTGGGCCGCGTTGAGGATGAACAGCTCGCTCCAGCTCAGCCTCAGCAGAGCCACCTGTGAATTTGTTTGAATCCCTGCACTGTCATCATCCACTGCATCTGTTGTTGCTAAATGTAAAGGTCAATCATTCCCTGTTTCTTTACTACATTTCCTAGAATACCTTCTCCTGAGGAGGGAAAAATCTGTGAAGTGTGCATCCTAACACACCAAACTGTACATTCTTACCTTGTACATGAAATGTAATCTACTGACCTGGTCGGACACAGGAAGCTCGGGGAAATAAGGGATATTTCTGGCCCACTCCACGGTGCTGAAAAGTAGCCGAGCAGCCAGTTCACAGATGTTATCAATGCCCATGGCGTTATCTGGTCCAGCCTGCTGGTTGTACTGGTGCCCATAGCGACTGCTGGGGTATGGCTCGGCCCGCAGCAGCTGGGAAATGAGTTCTGACACCGGCTGACCTCCGCCGCTTCCTCCATTGTTGTTATTATAGAATTCACCACTTCCAAGGCCACTGGCGCCACCTATGGGCATGATAGAGGGACTGAGGCTTGGCTGGGGTGGGATACGACCGCGTTGAACTGCTGTAGTTTGGTTGGGGGACAAAGGGGAGGAGAGGAAAGGTAATGAAAGAGAGAAGGTGCAGTAAGGAGAAATTTGAGAAGGACAGGGGAAGGGGAAAAACAGAGAGGAAGAGATGTTACCACCGAGTTCAGCCAGCGGTGTACGTCAGATTAACAGCAGACAGACTTGACCCAATTAAGAGGCTGTTCTTCGTGTTTAAAATGAGGTACAACTGAGTCCAAACTGACTCCTCAACAAAAGACTAAAAGACTTTGAGCCAAGAATGTACTTTTCATTAACATTTTAAACCTCTGCAGTATTAATTATGGAGAACTACCACGGGCTGTTGCAGTAACCTTATTATATTTTCTTCATCTTTATACCCACTGAAGACTGCTTCTGCACTCCAAAACACCCGCAGACACTAAGAACATCACTTTGTGTAAATCAAGCGCCGCAGCCATGACACACAGCATTACTGCCAAAACTGAAGCAGCAGGGCAGCAAACTGAACAGACATTCACTTGTGGATATGAGTTCATGTGGTAATTGTCTGGCCTGTTTAAGTATCTTTGAGTAAGATAATGAATAGCTTCCAGGCGGTGGAGATGACCATGACATCCCTGCGGAGGTGGTCATCATCATGCTTAATGACCAGTGAGCATGAGTGGAAAACAACTCAAAGACACACCAGGTGCCCTTATTTGTACAATTACAAACTACTTCAACCATTTAAACATTAAGTATATTTTCTATCGCTGCAATTAAAAGCCTTACAACTTTGTATCTGTATGTACAGTGTTTATTTGTAATTTGTTTCTGTGTATCTATTGAATGACACCCCACGTGGACTCCAACAGTTCAGGTGAAATCCCCATAATGGATTGGATTGAGCCAAAATTTCAGAGGGTTTGTGTACCTTCATCTTGAGGCTTAAGGCTCTGGGACGCAGGTGTCTTAGCACCATATCCCTCTCAGTCACTCTTACGCAGGCACTAGATTAAGCCACTTAGTACATGGCACTGAGCTGACACACATGGTTAGCTTAGCCATGACAGAGCCTAGACAGCCATTTCTTTCTGCTCTATGGAGCTTATGAAGCAGAGGAGGCAAGATAACAAAAAAAGGCACATTTAACTGATTGATTTTGTTTTAAATTTTCTCAGTGCAGCTGTTGAGCATAATGAGAAGACTTTATGGCTCTTCATTGAACTAAATAGGAATTTTCATTTTTCTTATCAATACAAATGTAGTATTTGAAATAATGCACAATGTGTGCCTCAGTGTCCCTTGACCTTTTTAAAGGTATCATAATAGATGAAGGTGTATTGATCGGGATAGACAGATACCTTCTTTGCGCATGCCAACGCGGAAACACTTCTTCAGGCGGCAGTACTGACACTGGTTTCTGTGGTGCTGGTCAATCTGACACTCTCGGTTTGACCTAAGAACACAAACAAATGATTTATGAATACTATATACTAGATTTTCCGTAAGACTATGGCAAATGTTAACATGCTTACAAAGAAGTAGGTTGTATCATTTAGTGTTATTTCAGTCACATCTTAAGTACCGTTATGTGTACAATCATATTTAACTCAAATAAAGCAGAACGTTTAACTGAGAAGTCGGCCAACAGAAAAAGTGTTTGCAGCTTTTTGATACTTAATTAACTGATTTATTTATAAAGCAAAACTGTCAAGCTTTCTCTGGTTCAAGTTTCATAACTGTGTTAATTTGCTGGTTTTCTTTGTCATATATATAGGTGAATTGTGTGAATATATCTATAAATAAACCTCATAAAATCACAACAAAGATGACATTTTATCTCTATAGGTTAATGAATAACAGAGGACTTTACCTGAAAACTGGGATGTACAAAGACATCTTTAATATTGTGAAGGTTAGTAGTTGTGTGTATGATGTGTAGTTCATAAGCACTATGGCAAAGAAAGGCTGCAACTAATGATTGTGTTTATTATCAATAAAAAAAAATTAATAATGAAAACCTCTCATTTTCATGGAGGTGAAGGTAACTATGCCGTGTACTTGTGTGATCTAGCCAAGAATATTCCGGTTACTATCACACAGGTAAAACAATAGCGGAAAAGCCAAATATTTAGATGTTGAAACCAGTAAAAGATTAGTGTTATAAAAATACTTGGTGAATCTTATCTAATTGTTGCAGCTCTATAGAAGATAAGTGTGTGACTGTAAAATCTTTTCGAAATGTTATTTTAAATATAATTTTTATTGTACGTTTCATCAATTTGTATATCTTAACATTTGAAAGATATTAACCAAATCAACTTGAAAACTGTTTAAATGTATTTATACGTATGAGGATCGTTCGCTGACATGAGACCCATCTAGCCCAGACTACACGCTGAGAAGACAGCAGCCAGACACTGCCGATTATTTTTATGACCTATATCCTCCATTATCATCTGTTTATAATCGTATATTAATGCGGACTTTATGCAACACCATGGAGCATTGTATTTCCGTAGGGTGTTTAGAAAAGCAAAAATATTACCCATAATGCCCCACTCACTCACCTGCAAGTGTAGCTGAGGTTGCGTCTGACGCTCCGCTTGAAGAAGCTCTTGCAGCCCTCGCAGGTGAACACTCCGTAATGTTTCCCGCTGGACTTGTCCCCGCACACCACGCAGTCCACCACGCACGCCTTGTCGTCGTCTCCAGCTTCCATATCGCTGCCTCCCGCCTGGGGAGAGCCGTCGTCCTCCTCCCCCCTCAGGTAGCCCTTGTCTCCCAGTCCGTTGGTGCCCCCATTGGGATCGCCCCACCCCCCACTCACCATGGCCATCGCTTGGTTACGGAACCACCGCTGAAGAAAATGGGACAGGCAGCCAATATTTCTGGTTGCTGTCAAGGTAACATAAATAGTCCTGACTGTGTGTTTCACCTCACCTGGAGAGATTCAGTATTTACTGCTTGTCTGTGATCCCATTTGTTAATTAAGCCCCTTGTTTATTTTTTAGCATGTAATAGCAGAACTGGGGGGGAAACGGTCCTCGTGCTAAATAAGCAGATGTCAGTGAGAAAAAGCCCAGGCTATAGCATTGAGGAGGAGGAGGAGGAGGGGGGTGTTTGGCAAAAAAAAAAACAAGAGCCGCTCAGTCCCCTCCCACTCCACTATGACCTGGAAACAGTCTCAGTGTGGCAACTTTTAGTTTTGCATGCCTGTGGCTTTCACTGCGCCCTTTTTCTTTTCATCTTCCTCTCTCCAGCTCGTAGCCGCCGCCGTGTGTTGTCCTTTTCTTTGGTCCAGTGCTTGAAGAGAAGCCTGCTCAGGCGCTGCCCGGTCGATCGGTTTCAGCCAAGGAACCTTTCACGGGAAACGAGTCAAAACACACAGTGTGCATTCTCCAAAAACAAGTCAGAAACAGTTTCCAAGCGAAATGAGATGAGATGAAAATCCCCCCCAGTCTTTTTCGTTTCACTCTCGCGCTCCCAGCTCCGTCTCTGTAGCAACAGTAATGGCTGAAAAAGGACCTCAGTGTAGCTCCCCTTAGCATATGCCTGGAAGGGTTTTGACCGCCCCTCTTAAAGTACCCCTGACCATGAAGTGGCTCACACCTATTTGCCCCCACAGACAGTAGCAGTTTTTCCAAATATTCACCTCTTAATCCTCGTAGAAACGATATCAGGCTCACCTCGGTGTGGACATTAACGCGCTGTGTCTATGGCTTCCCATAGAAAATAAAACCCTCCTCTCGCTAGAGCCTCCTTCTATCCAGCGAACCTAAGAGCGCAGACACAACTCTCCTACTCTGCTGTAATCCCCTTAGCGTTGTTAGCAGCATTGTGACCCACAATGAAGATATTCCAGATCAAACAAAACAACTTAATGTGTCCACACAACGACGCATTCATGTAGCCGTGGGCTTCTTCAGGGCACTGCCAGCTGCGGCAGCGACGACAGACGAGCTGACGCGGGCAGCCTGTGCTCACTTCCCAAATACACAAGCAGCTCCTCTACACAAGGATGTGCTCTCCCTCTCTCCTCCCCGCTTGCTGTAGCACGAGTGCGCCGTAATGACAGTGTCCTCTTTCATGCTTCCTTTCAGAAAAAAAAAAAAAAATCAAGAAAGCAGGAAAGAGCGTCCGTCTCCTCGGCCCACCATATTTCCTGTGCTTGCTCTCTCATGCACTCCAGCCTTTTGTCAGTGCTTGCCCACCAAGAACTAATGACTTGCGGCCTTGTCTTGTGTGCTGTTTTTCAAACTGTGTGTGTGTGGGTGAAATCAAATTATGATTCAAGAAAATGGCCACAGCTCGAGACCGGACCAGCGTTTGCCCGCTCCTTTATCCTGTTGTCTGTTTTCCTCCAGCCTATTTGTGTGTGTGTGTGTGTGTGTGAGAGAGAGAGAGAGGGGGGGTGTTCAGAGGGGGAGGGGGCTCTGTGTGTGTGTGTGCACTCCCAGGGATTTGACACTGCTATTCAAGCCCTGCCGTTGCCATGGTGCTGGCTGCCTTATATGGCCACTGGAGTCAAAGAGCAAAGAGAGTGGGCTGTGTGTGGGGCAGTAAACATATACACACACGCAAGAAGAATGTGCAGGATCTGTCTCCACAGAGATGCAGAGAGCATGACCCCGAGGCCTCAGAAACCACCTCAACAATACCAGATTATCCTAAAGCCCTGCTACAAAAACAAGCAAGCCCATCTTCTGCCCTTTGTCTTTTAGAAACCAGTCAGATGTTGCTTCTGAAAGTTTTGACATTGCAACATATAATTCCAGAAGCTATGCAAAGCACCAGCGAGGTGAGATTTATTTCTCGGAGCGAGAACATATCTCTCACTTTTGGACAAAACACTTTGATCCCGCATACATGCAGACAGCCTGTTTGTACTGGAAATAAAGGTTACCACTTTGTGGTCATTGCTCATTTCTCAAACGCTTTCTGTCTTTGAGCTTTGCGGAGCACACTGTGATTTGGTTTCGAGGTTACCCCACGAGGTCAAACTGACTTTCACAGCCCTGCCACGCTAAAAAGCCCAGGGTCAAATGCAGATAAAGAGGAGGAGAGGACACACACAATAACCCCGAATAAGAGCTTTGAGAGATAAGTGATGAATCTGCTTGTAAATGCCTGATTCTTTGTAGCTGGGGGAGGCAGTCACAGATATGGGGAGGTGAAAGTGGCTGTGCCTTTAGAGATTCATTATATGCTACTTGTTGTCTTATCTACACTTTTATGGCATTCTAAATCTCAACCCAGCATTACCCCCTGGAGGACAGAGTGTGTGTGTGACAGAGAAGCATTGTTCTGGCCGTTAGACGCTAATAGGTCAGCAGAGGGTTGTGTGCCTGTGAGGGAGTGTGTGTTAATTTGAATGAAAGTCTCTTTAATTAGGGTGTGTGCCTGCTTAATGTCACCTCTTGTGTAAAGAAAGATTACGTTTGTCAATAAAGAGGGTTTGTGTGTGTGTGTGTGTGTGTGTGTGTGTACAAAGACGAGAAATCCGACAGAGCCGTTAATCAATAATTGTTGTACCTGAAGAAGAGTACATTTGAGTGAATTGGATCTGTTGTTCTCAGACAAAGTGGCATGCTTTAAACAGAGCTTCATTGTCACATGTCAGAGGCCTTTTTGCAGGTTGTCTGTTTTCTGAAATATCTGAATATATAGTCACACTGCTCACGTTTAATACAGCGTAGTGTCTGCAAACTGTCAAAGTAACCACACTGTCGGAGAGTCACATACATTCCAGTCTAGGCTTGCCTCATCTTCCCTTAATTAATATTTTTTTTCTGTTTCTATATATTTCATTCACCTTGAGTTCAACATGCCAACAGGAAGCCATTATAACACTGGCAGTGGCAAATTGTTAAACTTTCTAATGTTACTCAAAAAGACTGTTCTCAGCTTTGTAGTAGATATTAACTAGAATGTTCTCAATAAAGCATTACCCTTACAGTGGCAAAAATGATGATAATCTAGAACAAATTATATGGTCTTAAATGTTCTTATACTTGCACAGTGCCTTTCTACACTTTCACAGCACACTCAAAGCATTTTCACATTATTCAGCCATTCACCCATTCGCACTCACTGGTGACGTCACTGGGAGCAACTGGGGTTCAGTGTCTTGCTCACAGACACTTGGACATATTGACTGGCCAAGCTGGGAATCGAACCGCTAATCCTCTGGTTAGGAAATGACCCACTCTACCTCCTGAGCCACAGCCGCCCCCATGATATATATATTATATAAGCATTGACACTTTGTCAGTGATAACATGTAACAGTGAATATTTCCAGTGTAAGGGGGGAAACATATGATAGACCTTAGATTCAAGGAGATGCTGAACATGACATTCATTTCAAATTTAGTGTGTGTTTCTGTTTGTGAGAGAGCACTGGGGTCAGGAGTGATGTGACCTTTGAACCAATGGTTAGGAAGGTGATTAGTCCCAGTGAGGAATCCAGAAATGCAAGACTGCAAAAGATATACTGTACATTAGATTATGTACACAGAGAAAGAGACAGCAAGCACTGAAGTACCACGGCCTAACAGCATCTTACAGGTCAGAAAGCCTGTCTTTAGACCAAACAAATTAAAGGGTTGCAATACCCAAAACACAAAACTAAAAACAATAATTAAGCCTGTGTGCCGTTTATCCGCCTTTTAGATTATAAGGGTTGTCTGCAAAACATCTTTGAGCCACATTTGTTTTAATTTTAGCTGCAGTACCAAAGTTGTCCACTAGCAAAAAGAAATGTTCATGGTGGCTGACCCTGGCACTTAAAATTTTTGCACCATCAAATTATGAATTTCCTAAATATTGCAATGCAAAATTGAGTAGCTCCTATCAAAATATTAGTAGTTTATTCCTAAAATAAAAACCTCAAAATTAGTGGATGTCAAAGAAAACTTGTAACAGCCAAACCTTAGGAATATACCCAGAAACACGAGTGCAGCTAGCAGCCAAGCCTGGCTAGTAAAAATGCATTACTAGTGAACAAATTAAGCGAGTGTGATAGCTTAATGCTGTTAATGTGAAAAAGGCAGTTCAACAATCTGAGTCTGTTCATCGAAATATTTTGAAAGCTAGTTCACACCTTATATTAATAAGGGTAGAATAACATTCTGACCTTAATGAAACTTATTTATTGCATGGCTCTTGTAGCCTATTACACTTTAGCTAGAAGTACCTTATAAACTGGCAGCAGCCAGTCACTAAGCAGTTCACTGCAGACAAGCTGCACACAGTTGACATGAAGCTTCAACCAGTGCCTTATTTTTTAAAAGAAAAGATAAATGCTGTGAATAAATATGTTTAATCTATGGTAGGGTTTTTTCGTTTGTTTTTTGTTTGAATTTTTTTTTTTTGGCAAATTCATCCAATTCATTTGAATCTTTAAACAGCCAGCTGGCTTGTCTTACTGCAACTATTTAAAGTTACCTCTGTTTTTGGCTTCCTTGATGTACACACCTGCTGAGGCGTCATGCACAACCAGCAGTGAGCGTAAATAAACACCACAGCAGGTACATTAGTATGCACCACCATGTCTGTCCGTGTCTGTGCCACAAGTTTTTACCTTTCTGAAAATAATGTGTTCTAACAGTTTGTGAGTGAAACACCAACACTGTGATGCATCAGGTCACTCTGAAGAAATACGTACTGTAGCCTGTCACTGTTCAGACAGTTTTTTAGCTGCCTGTCTTGCTGTGTGGTGAAAGGTCTTCAAGTTCGCTGTGTATCAGAGGAACATAAGTTTTGGTTATAATTATAAGGCCTTTCTTTGAGGTTGAGCAAATCTGTTTAGGATTATAGCATGTGAGCTACTGTTCTTACATGGTAGGTGAATTAATAAATTGTCTTTTGTCTGTGTCAAGCAGATGGAGGCACCAGTTCACACTTCCAACTCTATGTCATTCAAATTTAGCATAACACAAATGTTTGAGGTGATAATTCAGATTCCAGAAGAAGGATCTGGGTTTTACTCAGGAAACTTATCCAGATAAAGCTATACATCTGTTTCTTGGAACAGAAGTGTTCTTCATGTGGAATCACACCTTTTGCAGCATAAAAACAGTTTTTGGGCAGGCCCAAACGTGACCCACTCAGCCCTTGATTCATTTAACGTAAAATTTTGTTTTACAGTCTTTTGCAGAGGACTGTCCATTAACATATACAATATAATCACCCTCTCATCCGTGTGTGTAAAGTTAGGCCAGGCCTCGCCCTGAGGCATTCTCTGGGACCACTGTAGTTCTGTAATTCAATCTCAGGGTGTTAGCAGTGTGCTCTCAGCTGCAGCATATGGAAAGCAGGTCTTCACTTAAAGTAATCATGAGGCGTCTGTGCAGCCCTGTGGAGACAGCGTTTTCATCACGCTCTGATGGCCGTCAAATGTTTAGACTTGCAGCGACAGCCTCACCCTGAGACCAGAGCGACCTGTGACCCCAGAGGAATGGACAAGCCTGGAAACAAAAACAGAGGCCTTTTGTACGGGTCAAAGGGAAAACATCTGCTGGGCTGAAGACACAGAGGGAAGAGGTGGATTAACTCTCTGGTATTCAACATTTGGTTCTTTCAGCACCTCTGATGGGAATACGCATAAGACCACAGTACATAACATTATTACAACCCAAATTTTTATTTCACCCATTAGCGCCACAGTTGCCTCCTTTGCCCAGCAGGATAATTGATTAAAATGCACAGATAAATAGAGTGTGAGGAGGAATTTCTTTGATATGCATGCTTCCTTTCCTACAGTATCACATCATGACAGAAGCCAGCGGTCATAGCTAATCTTTCATTCCTCAATCAAATTTAATGATCTGAGAAAATTGCACATCATCGTGCCTGCTGAGAAAATCAGGCTTTCATGTCACCCTGCATTTTCTTATTTTATTTTTTTAATGCAACTGAAACAGTGTGATATCATTTAAATTTGATAGATGGGATGTTGCCCACTCAGTAAATGTGAAAAAAGACAACAAAAGAAGGTGTTTTCAGTTTTTCTCCACAACACAAACTCTGCACCGACAGGTATTTTGCACCGTATTATTTATTTGTTTCTGTTCAGTCAGGTGGTCAACAAAGGTATTTATGACTTCCCCTCTGTCTACTCTGCATCTCTCAGGAACAGAGTCCTCTTTCTTCAGACCAGACACCTGATATTGCACATGGCCCTGAAACATATAACCAGATCCTTGTTATTGATTACCAATACATCTCTGGTTGGAAACCTTATGGTTTTTGTGTAATTCAGGCTTAGTCATTAAGAATACTGTGACTCTGTATAGTTTATTTGTAAGTGCAGGTGAAACAATATGGCAGGTGAGAAGTGTTGGAGTGTAAAGAGAATATGGAAACTGGATTCTTTTCCTGTTTGGTTTTGTAAAAGGTGTGGTTATGTTTTAGGAAATGTGCTTATTGAGGAGTTACCTGACAACCAATGATTGCAGGAAATGACTGCGCTCAGCAGAGAAATTGTTTGAGAGATTATACCTGTGTAAAACAGCAGATTTCTATTTTAGTATGTTCGTTGCAGTTTTCATGCAGATTAAATGAACATTCTAATTAGTGAGAGCCAAGGGTGAGATAATACAGTACACCACTGTTACCCTGTATGATGCTAGCAGCTATGTTTAGCTTAGCTTTGCATTTACTAAACAGGAACCAAAAAAGACAACAGGAAGTTACTGCACCTGACTGAGAAATAGTTTGGCACCAAATCCTACACCAGTCTTCAAGTTGTTGTTTTTACACCTAGGTTTGTGTAAAATGTAAATTTAGTGGTTAGATATTTTTTGGTCATATCTACTACTAAACCTGTGCTCAAACCACCCACTAGATTCAGATATCAGATTCAAGGTTAGTTTACATTTTTCATACTTGGAGGAGTTGTTAGCTTAACAATTTAGGACCACAAACTGTATGCGAGACTCAGTACATTAAAATTTTATACAAATAATCCAGTCGAAACAGTTGAATCAATAAGTCAAATGCAACTTTCTTTACATGCTGTATTTTATCCTGCTGTTTGTTTCTACTGCCTTACTTAAAGACTTCTGAAATCCTGTAGCTCATTCACATCACTTCATTGATCAATTCACTTCAGCAGCAGCAGTGTTACTTGCCCACTAAGTGGCAGTGTGTTCCATGACAGTTACTGCGGGAGTTTGTCTGTTTTTTACACATTACACTGAGACTACCCTCTTATTACGCCTGTAACAAACACTTGGATATCTAATGAGGTTTTAAGCTTTTCATTGTCTGAGATCTAAACAGTATGTTACATTACACTTAATTTGCAAGAAAATTATAAGCGTTCATGGAATTAATTAGTTAATTTAATAAAATCTCAAATAAACGAGGGCCAGTACCACCAGTATTTACTCATGTCAATGAGAGCTGCTGCTCATTCAAAGCTGTAGTATTCCTGCAACCCAGGTTAGTCTCAAATTTGGGAAACATGAGCGTAATGGAGTGGGGGTGTGAGGTTCATTTGAGTGAGGAGTCAAGAGTCAGGGCTTCAAGTTTCAAAGAAAATAATAAACACACTGCACTACCTTGGTTTTGGCTGTTTCATAGCCCCCAGTCAGTTTGAAGGTAATTGACTGGTGTGTGACTTTTTATGGCTTTGTTAAAGTGGTTATATTGTAGTCATTTTATTTTTTTAAATTAAATTATTGTAATTCTTGTGAAACAATTTTATGTTACACAGCTGCATGCCACCTACCAAAGTGAAATAGAAATATCAGGGATATTATATTAGTTAAGGCTCAATACAGAGCGTCCAAATCAAGGTAAGAAAATCTGTCAGACTCTTTCAGTTGATAGGTAGCCACCCCTGTGAACACTCATCAGGTTGTTTTGTGTCTAAGGGAGCCCTTCATATCCTGACCACTATCACAACAGAGCCCTGTTCCTTCACTACCCGACCCAGTGAAGAGTGTTATCTGTAACACCCACAGCCCGCTGCAGAAACTGTATATTCTCTTAAAGCGTTGCTTTACAGCATTAGGTGCTGCACACCTGCAGTGGCTGGTGGTGTGTGTGTGTGAGTGGCTTGTTCATCCATGAGGTCCTGTGAATTTACGCTAATTCACACCCACATAGGTAGTGGTCCAAAGTAACTGAGTACATTTACTCAAGTACTGTAGTATAGTTCTTAGGTATTTGTACTTTATTTGAATATTTCCATTTTCATTATTTCACTCTTCAACTGCACTACATTTCTGAGGAAAGTATTGTACTTTTTAGCTTTACTGCATTTATTTGATGACTTGAATTACTAGTTCACCAGTATGGATGTGAAATGGATCTTGAACCTTGTTCAAAGTGCTCTAAAAAGTTCTTAAAGTTTTAAATTTAACTTGTTGAAACTTGGCAGAAACCCTTGATGTTACTGTACATACTGTATCTTGCCTGAAACGTTAGATGAGTTATAGCTGCAGGTGATTAGCTTAGCTTAGCATAAATGATTGGTAGAAGGATAAATGAGCTACACTGTTTTTGTAAAATGTAGAAATGGCAAAGTGGGCTTTAGTAGTATAATATCACTCCAGCATGTAATTAACTCATATAACCACAATTTGATATTTTTATGTTGTTTTGTAGCTTAGCTTAGCAAAAATATTGGAAACCATAAACAGCTGCAACTAAGCTTGTCGTCACTGTGAGGTTGCCAAGCCTTTTCTAACACTTCAGTTATCTTGTGGTGTAAACATACAAGTTTATAATAGGAGGGAGTTTTTGAGTTGCTAGTATAGGTGGATTTTGTTAACGTTGGACAGAGCCAGGCTAGATGCTTTCTCTTTTTCGGTCTCCTGAATACAGTTTCATATTTACATGACAGTGTCACTCTTCTCATTTAACTCTCATCAAAAAGTGAATAAGCATATTTCTCAAAATATCCAAGTATTCCTGTACTTTTATTTCTTATGAATTATGTTACGCTGGCCCAAAGTGCTCATTATGCACTGGATAAACCTCTGTTTCAGTATCTGACTGTCAGCATGGTCAAACTGTGCACTGAAGATTTTAGGCTACAGGTAAAGTCAGACAGGCAACTCCAAAATATAAGATATGTAAAACAATGTTTATACTTATAAAAATATTTTTATTATATGAGGACTCTTTAACTCATAAGCCATTAGAAAGGCATGTAAATTATGCAACATCTTTCTTACTGATTTGAGAACACTGTGTCCCGTGAGTGGATCCAAAATGTAAAGGTAAAAACATCCTATACGTGGTTTAGACAAACAACCCACTTCAGCCTCAGGTAAATCAACACTGTGATTGTTTATATCGTGTACTTGTCTCTGATATCCTGCATTTGTTGACGCCTTTTATCTGACATCTTGCCCTAAAAGTTGCCGCACATTTGGCCATCAGCAGTTCCTTTATGAATGAATTACTGCTTCCTTTCAAGATGAGACAAGGTGTGTCAACAATGCCTGGCAGGAAAAAGTTGTGGCTGCAAACTGTCAGTTTCAAGTGTGGGTGTGTGTGTGTGTCCACAGAGGGAACTTACCTACGTCATCGTGTTGGACTGAGTCTTGTGGCATTTAAGAGCCACTGAACAAAAACATCAGAACAACAACAAAAACCATTGTCCTCCTGGCTAGAGGAGCACTTGGAAACATTGTTCATGTTCCCATATAAATGTTTTTGGCACATTTATGGAGAAGTTGCACAAGCTGAGTCCTGTGAGGATTTTAGGTTTTCACAGCAGAAAACAGATGGTGTTTTCAATGTAAATGTCTTTGAATCAATAACATAAATTAGGATTTACCATTAGAATTTAGCATTTCCACTTTAAAACTTTATAAGAATATGCTCATCACCAAATGCTTGTGAAATTTGATTTTTTAAAATTATATATTTATTGAAATTTTCCATTCAAAAAAACAAAACAAAAAAAGAGTTCACTTCTAGATACATCATATTTTGTACTATTTTGTAATATACTATTTCATTTGTATATTTTCAATCAGGGTTATTAACAAGTGGACTAACACTGGATTTCAGTCCAGATCTTCCTTCAATACTTTGCACTGTGCCAAGTGTTACTGGGGTCACAGAAAAAAATATTTGGCTGATTTCAAATCTTTTAAGAAACCTGATTCAAAGGGTGACAATTAAATAATGAAGCTTCGATATCAAACCAGATTGATGGAATGTTATTAAGAGCCCAGTCAGTTACATTCTGCAAGGTTGGCACTTCCAAATCACTTTGGAGTTATAAAGTTGGCATCTTATCTTTTGCCAAATGAAAGAGCTAAACTATCCATTTGTTCTGTGAATTATTTTTGAGTGAATAAAAACTCAAATGAAATTAGATTTTAAGGTGGAGAAATAAGTTTCAAAAATCAAAATTGTGTTTTTGCTTTGATTTGCACAATGATGTTTCTAAGAACAATCAGCCATAAAAATTGTGTGTGTGTGTGTGTGTGTGTGTGTGTGTGTGTGTGTGTGTGGATGGGCTTGTGCATTCTGGGCCTG